GGGGGGGGAGAGAGAGATATATTTTTCTAAATGTCAAAGTTCTTGCTCAGTAATCCAGGTCAAAAATCCCACAAAGTTAAATCAGGTCCTCTGGACAGATTATTGACCATGAACTTTGATGTTTTGGACCATTTTGGCCATGGCTGCCTCAGAGGAGTCGACGGGGGAGAGAGCGGACTCCAGAAACTATCTTATCACCATCAAACTGGTTGATCCACTGTGAGTGTGCTACTTATGGGACTCTGTTTGTTGTGGTTCCTTGGACTGATGAAATCCTTTGGATAAAAGACGAAACGTTTCAACAAAAAGAAACCGTCCAGAGGACCGGACTTAAATTTAGTGGCTTTTTCTAAATGTTTTACAAATAAAAACCTGAAAAGTATGGTGTGCAATTGTACCCCTTTTTACTAGAATTTATCTTTGAAATTTTCTATCACAAAAAAACAACAACTTTGAGTTGTCCTGTTGTCAACAACAGTTCTTAACATAATCTTCTGCAAATCTGTACAAAACACAAAGAAACAACAACAGCCAACCTCATCGCCATCTGTCCCCTGTCATTACCTCAGTGTTGCTGCAGAAGTATAAAAACATAAAGAGGAAAAACCTTGAATGACTGTCGTTCTTCAGAGATCATCTTCAGTGCTCATGACCTTCAAACAGTCCTTAACTTGGTTTGATCCAAAAACTGCATTTATTGTCTACCAGGACCAGTTTTTTCCTCATTTCTTATAAAACTGTGTACAGAAACAAAAGCAACAACAGGTCATACCTGTCAATGTAGGAGCGTAATATGGTGATCCCCAGGACAAAGTAGAGCATAAATGAAGCCATAATCATTCCCAGTCCAAGAAGAATGGCCCGATCTTCTCCAGGCTTTAGAGCTGTCACCGTCTGCTTTTTGTCCAATAAATCTACCTCCCGAAATTTCTGGTAAATTAACCTGATGACAGAAAATGAGACTTTAGGAATCGTCATTGGTTTATCCATCCATTATCTTTTACCCGCTTCTTCCATTTTGGGTCACGGGGGTCGCTGGTGCCCATGTCCAGCAATCACTGCGAGGGGCGGGGTACACCCTGGATGGGTCACAAGTCCATCACAGGGACACATAGAGACAAACGAGACAAACAACCGTTCACTCTCTCACTCACACCTAGGGACAATTTAAAATTACCAATCAGACTAACATGCATGTTTTTGGTCTGTGGGAGGAAACTGGAGTACCCGGAGAAAACCCACGCATGCACGGCAAGAACATGCAAACTCTGCCCAGAAAAGCCCCCGGACCGGGATTTGAACCGGGAACCTGCTCGCTGAGAGGCAGCAGCTCTACCAATTGCGCCACCGTGCTGCCCGTCATTGGTTTATACCTACAATAATAAAAGTCTGTGATCAAAATTATATATTTGCTTTGTGGAAGTGGAAATCTTTGGAAAACTTCTAAACAGGGACGGCTGGTCCATCAGGGCAGGTGGGGGCACAGCTCCACTCAAAAATAAAAAAAGTAGTTCATACAAATAACAAATGTAAATTACCTTATTACTTGTTTTGCTGTGCAATGGTTAATTCTGTGTTTTTCAACTATTTAATGTAGATATTTTTAATCCATACTGTACATTCATATGGTGATTCATACTCAGTTTTCTTTACTTATTTGTAGTTGTGGGGTATGACACCGCCCACGTTCATAGGTAGATTTGTCAAATGGCCCTATCAGCAGATATCAGACCTGCAGGAAGCTCCAACAGAGACTCATTTGTGCAGAAACAATTCCTCCCCATTATGAGATTTTGTTGGTTTCAGCTCAGTGATATGGTCACTAACACTAGACCTCACGTAATTTTAGTTAAAGCAGGTTTAGTGTGCAATAAAACCTGCTGTGTCCATCAGTGGAGATTTGTTTTACTTGAATCAAAACATTTTTGAGAGTAAGATCAGAAAAGATATTATCAGTCAGCCTGGAGCACACTGACCAGACACAAACAGAGGGAAGATGTACAAGACATTTTCTCCAACATAGGCCTATTTCTTGTGACCATAGCTACTTAGATCACCCACAGGTGGATCTTATTTCATTTCTAGTATGGCTTCTGGACATAAGGGTTGGGGCTTTAAAGCAAAGGGGTGAACATGCACTTCTTCAGTTTCATGTTTTAGAATCATTAAAAAATATATGACTTTTAACTTTGTTAATCTGGACTTTTATTGCAGAAGTATTACTTCAAAGCAAATGAGCAATGCAATACAGAAAGCTGTGTACCTGTCTATCTGTTTTATTATTACATGGGTACAATTAAAAATACTCATGTTTTGGGTGGTGGTATGAATAGAAGCGAATGTGGGGAGGTGTCTCTTTCTCTGATTTATTTATTAGACCGTATTGTAATTATCAGAGACAACCTCAACAGGCTTTAGAGAGGGGATAAAAAGCAACAATTTTGTGCATTAAAAAGCAACAAAATAAAGATTCGGCAACATGTGTTCTGTATTTTCTAACAGAAAATGTAACAGGATTCTGGCATTTTGGCTCCTTCTCCCCACTAATCACCATCTGCAGGTCATGTGAGTGAGCGGTGCCAGCGACCTCTCAGCAAACACAAATGATCAAATTTATGTAGGTAGTAATTTTGAAAAATGATTGTCCCCCCACCCCCCACTAATATTTATGTTCAGGAGCTTCATGGCATACCCGATAGTTTGAAGCAAGTGTTTAATTTTGACATGACTAATGGCAACCGTAAAACAACTCCAGTCAACAACATTTCATGGTGGTTTATACAAACGCCCTCTAAATGAGGGTCCAGCTACCCTGCGGTGGAAACTTATTTCAACTACCTGCATCTGCAGTCTTGTTATTTTGGTCACTACCCAGAGTTTGTGGCTATAGGTGAGTGTGGGAACATAGACCGAATGGTAAACAGAGAATTTTGCCTTACAACTCAGCCCTCTCTTCACCGCAATGGATCAGCACAGAGTCTGATACTGTTGCATTGATCTGTTTGTCAATCTCAGGCTCCATTCTTTCCTAATTTGTGGACAAAACCCCAAGATACTTGAACTCTTCCACTTGTGGCAAAACCTCACTTCCAACCCGGAGAGGGCAATCCACTCTTTTCTGACTGAGGACCATGGCCTCAAATTTGGAGGAGCTGATCATCATACCAACCTCTTCACACTCAGCTGCAAATTGCGCCAGTGAGAGCTGAAGATAACAGCATGATGAAGCCCAAAGGACCACATCATATGTAAATAGCAGAGATGGAATCCTGAGGCCACCGAACTGGACTCCCTCTGCCTTGTGGCTGCACCGAGAAATTCTGTCTATGAAAGTCATGAACAGAATTGTTGACAACAGGCAGCTATGGCAGAGTTCAACTCCTACCCTGAAGGGGTTCGACTTACTTCCAGCGATGCGAACCATACTCTCACACTGCTTGTATAGAGACTGAATGAATGGCCTGTAGCAAATGGTCCCCAATTCCATGTTCATGGAGCAGCCCCCACAGCATACCTCAAGGAAAATGGTCAAATGCCTTCTCAAAGTCAACAAAACACATGTAGACTGGATGGGTAAACTCCCATGACCCCTCAAGGACCTTTGTGAGAGCTGGTCCGTTGTTCGCTGGAACTTGCATTGTTCCTCCTAAATCTGAGGTTCTATCATCAATCACACTTGTTTCTCCAGTATCCCTGAATAGACTTTAATGGGGAGGCTGAGGAGAGTGATGAACTTATAATTGGAATACATCCCCCGGTCCCCTTTTTTGAAGAGGGGAACCGCCACTCCAGTCTGCCAATCCAGCAGCACTGCCCCCAATGTCCACGCAATGTTGCAAAGGCATATCAACCAAAACAGCCCTGCAACATCCAGAGCCTTGAGAAACTCGGGGCAGAGCCCTGCCGCTATGAAGCTTTTTAACTACCTCAGCAACCTCAGCCTTGGTTATGGACAGACCAACCCCACAGTTCCCTGACTCAGCCTCCCCCATGGATGACGTGTCATGGGAACAAGAACGTCCGAGAAGTATTCCTTGCACCTACCAACAATGTCACTGGTTGAGCTCAACATCACCCCACCCTCACTAAACTCAGTGTTGGTAAAGTATTGCTTTCCCCACTTCAGTTGCCTGATGCTTTGCCAGAATCTCCTCTGAGTCGATCAAGAGTCTCTATCCAAGGCGTCACCAAACTTCTCCCATATGTGAGCTATTGCCTCAGCAACAGTCAGGGCTGCAGTCCACTTGGCTTCTGATACTTCTCAGCTGCCTCCGTAGTCCTACAAGCCAATAAGGTCCGATAGGACTCTTTTTTCAGCTTGATGACCACCCTAACCCAGGGTGTCCACGAATGACTTCACAGATGACCACCGCGAGAAGCACCGACACCCTTGTGGCCACAGCTCGAGGCACCCGCCTCGACAAAGGAGATGTGGAATGCTCAAAAGGTTACTTAAAACCTATAAATAATAAAAGTCTAACTAAAAGTTGAAAGAAGCTAGACATTTTTTAAGATTGGATATGTTTTGTGAAGAGGCTCCATTCTGACTACCTGTTGCAAGCTCATTGATACTATTAAAGCAGACCCACCTCTAAAGCAATTTTTCATCCTAAAACAACTTTAATCTCAAAAGATTTTATCATAGTTTATGCAAACATTATCACGTTACCCGTCACATCTTTGTCAGTTTTGCATTACACTATTTGTTGGGCAGAAATTAAAATTGTGTTCAAGGTCACCTCAGACTGCACTGGAAGTGTTAGCTTCTGCCACTTTTTGATTTTGCAAAAAAACATACATCTCCATCATCATCTTCTACCTCTTATCTGTTGAGTTGTGGAGGCAACAGGTCCAGGAAAGAAACCCAGTCTTCTCTTTCCCTAGTGACACTTTCCAACTTCTTCTGGGGGACTCTGAGGGTTCCTAGGCCAGAGAAGATTCACAATCCCTCCAGCAAATTCTTGGTCTGCTCTAGGTCTCTTCCCAGTGGAATGTGGCTGGAATACCTCCAAAGGGAGATGTCTCTTTGGAGGTATTCCAAAGGGAGGTATCCATGAGGCATCCTAATCAGATTTCTGAACCACCCCAACTGACTCTTGCCGATGCGAAGGAGCAGCGGCTCTACTCCACACACCCCCTGTATGACAGAGCTCCTCACCGTAAAGGAGGCTCATTTTGACCGTATGTATCAAGTATGTCTTTCTTTTGGTCATGACCCAAATCTCATGACCACAGGTGAGGGTTGGAACATAGACAAACCAGTAAATTGAAAGCTTTACCTTTCAACCCAACTCTTTCTTTGCCATAAACAACTGAAACAATGGCCTCATTACTGAGGATGAAGCCCCAATCCATCGATCCATCTCTTTACCATCACTTGTGACACCTAGATACTTAAACTCCTCCAACTAAGGCGAATACGCTCCCTAACCACACCCCCACCACTATTACCACTAGAATTACTATAAAGTTCTAATCAATCCATCCTGATTTTAGCTGTATTCAGAAAAGCTACTAGCTTTTCCGTCCTGTCAAAGTTAAACTCTGTTTCTCCAGACATTGTTCAAAGAGCTATCTACAACATGTAAAATATCATTTGTTCATAACCTTTTCATAGAACCCTACAAAATATTGTTTTAAATATAGTAATCCATAATCTAATTATTAAATAATTTAAAGTCTGTTTTTTTGTTGTTGTTTTTTTTTACCTAGAATAGTTAAAAAATAAAACAAATTGTTACCTCTTGTCATTTTCTCTTCCTAATCCTGAAGTTTTTTTGGCCCCAGCCAGAAAAAACATATTTTCCGATGACCCAGGTCCTCTTCTTGTTGCTGAAGCAGAACGATAAGACCGCTGAAAATTCCTGGGGGGAAAAATACACCCAGTTTATGTTCAGCTGCTGCAACGAACTGAACATTTACCCCTTACAGAGCAAATAAGTCCAAAGACAGAAAAAATAACCCTTTACCTTTGGTGCATGTTTGCTTTAAACACTAATTCTAGCAATGTCCAGTTTAGTTCACAATAAACCTTTTCCTTACAATCCTACAAACCATTCTTGATAATGGTGCGCTGGTACAGGAAGTGGAACAGGAAGTGCAGTGCACACAGTAGTTTCCAAGTAAACATCTCTTTTTGAACACAAATAAGTTATTCAAAGAGTTAACAAGACTATGGACAGCTACAGATAAATGGTGTTATTGCTGACAGGGTCATGTGAGAAACCTACCTGTTGGTTTTGTCAACACAAAGTTTCTGGGTCCTCTTCAGTATCACCTTGCATGGGTCATAGTCTCACTCTGTAGGTTCTGACTGGTAGAAAAAGCACTATTTATTATGTGAATAACAACAGTTTGTGATAACAAACTGATAATGAAACAAACAGAATTTTAAAAATTAAAGTCTGGTTGTAGCTGACAGTCATTCCCAACACATACTCTAAGCACTAACACACTATTATAGGTGTTGTAACATCACATAAAACTGCAGGTTTGACCAAAAGAGCTTTTCTTAACTCTGCTGTTTTATTGAACCTGCATCAAACAAAAGTTTCAGCATCGTCTCCTTGTCCAAAGCAGGTCACTGAATTTCCCTTTTCTTCAGTCATCCACAGTCCATGACTGTCTCTTCTGTACTTACTGGAACATTCCTTCTCTTTGGGAAACCGTTCCATTATTTCCCTCTTTTGTTTCCTGTCAGTCGGCTTGTTAACCGCAGAAGGTGACTACATCAGACCTGACCAGACCTCTGCTTTAGGATGTCACAAACAAAGATATGACAGTAAAGACAACCTGTAAAATGACGTTTAACATGTTTGGCATTCAGTTTACACTCAACAGTTTGTTTTGTTTCTTAAAATTAAATTAATAGTTGGTGCCAGTTGATACAGTTAGTGCCAGCTAGCTAGCACCAAACTAATTTATAAGTAGATATCTAAATAAGGCCGACTTTGGGTTGTTGTTTTTTTTTAATTAAATGTTATGGACCTCTAATTCAATCATTTTGAGGTAGATACTCCAACCCAGTATGCTGGCTCAAACTGATAACTCTAGACTCAGAGACTCTACTTCTTCAGGTGGTTGAGACGAGCTGGTCTGGGAAGCTCAGTCCTCACCTCCTTCTACAGGTGTGCAGTGGAGAGCATCCTGTGCTCCAGCATCAACGTGTGGCATGGAGGCTGCACAGCTGCAGAAAGAAAAGCTTTGCAGAGAGTGGTGAAGGCTGCACAGAAGACTGTTGGAGTCAGTCTCCCCACCATCACAGACATCTACACCTCCAGATGCAGGAAGAGGTCCACCTGCATCATGAAGGACCCCACTCACCCAGCACACACATTTTTTGCCCCACTCCCCTCAGGCAAAAGTTGAGGAGCATTAAGTGTGGGTGAAAAAAATCACTGTAATGCCACTTGATTGTTGATGTGTGCTGCTGACTATCCATGCTGCTGATCTCATGCTGCTGATTTATTTCATGATGCTGTCATTCGTACTCATCCACTCACACAGACTCATGTTTGTGCTGCTGTTGTTCGGCGTATTGTTTTTATGCTATTAGTGTATTCTTAGTTCATATCTTAGATCTCATTACTGTTTATCTTTATAATTGATACTTTTGTTGGATGTGACTGGGACCCTGTGTAAACAATTTAATTCACACCACATGTACCACATGTGGTGTGAATGACAATAAAGAAACCTTGACCTTGATAGCCTGACCCTGCTGAGTTAAAACTACCCATGTTTTAGCAACATTCAGACTAGCTATTAGCTCATCAGTGCAGTCACAATAAAACTCCTTAAAGTGAATCTGTTTAAAGAGATATCTATAACTTTTTTATGAAACTTCTACACAGAAACTTTTTCCAAATAGCTAAACTATTCCCTCCTGCTGCCCTCGAGTCAAAATGATCCACACATCAGCTTTAAAACAATCATGTGGGTGATTTTGACCTAATGCAGCAAGAGGGTTAAGTTTTATGCTGACTCATTGTAACTTCTAGCCACTTATAAAGAGAATAAGCAGACAGCTATTCTTTTTCTTTTTTTCTTTCTTTTTTCCTTTGGTGGAAAACATTGACAAAGTGCTCCAAGAACAATTGTTGGAAAACAGGCCAGCAAGTTCCTGCCTGATGTGTAATTTCCTCATTCTCTCACATTTCCAGCTGCTGAAGAGAAAAGCTGCAGAGAGAGACCAACACATCCACGTGACGCTAAAGGAAAGAAGAAATGTTTGCTGCGAAACACAATTTGCATCGATTCCCACAACAAGAAGTCCCACACATCAGTTTTCTGCTCTGTCTTACTGTCAACAAGCTCACTGACCACACTGGCTGAGGACCTCGAGTTCCACACATAACTGTATTGATTTCAGCTAAACATGAACCCAACCCCACCCACACACGCACACACACACACACACACACACACACACACACACAGAGAAGAGCCCATTTAAGCTAAAGATTTTTACAAGTGATAGCTGCAGGCTCATCTGTTCAATGGAGAATCTGTAAGTGTGTGTGTGTGTCATCACAGAGCCACCAACGTCACCATAAATCGCTCTTCAAACAGAACAATTCATCGCTCAGCACCAAAGAGCAAAAGGCGTGTGATCACGTTTTTGCCCTTGTCTCATGTGCATGCTTTTCTTGGTCTGCCTGTTAGCAAAGATTGTCAGTAGCTGAGAGTCATCCCCAGCATATACTCTGAGCACTACCAGATTGTGCAAGACATTGCATGTGATCTTGCGTAACGTTATTTTCGAGGTTTGACCAAAACAACTTTAACCCTAACATCTCTCTTCGTGTTGATCTCTGTTTAAAACTCTGGCATGAAAGGAGGGGGTGATATGAAAATGTCTTTCTTCAAGAAATTCTAGGCCTTTAATTCATGTGACAAATTAAACATGAATTCATATTAAACAGCGCAAGCTGAGTTTAAATAGTGGGTGAGGTGTTTGAAAATAACTTTTCTATGAAAAGTGTTGCAATGTTTAAAGACTTTCATGTTCAGACCCACAATAAACGAAAACGATCCACAAGGATGCTCATTCAGCTGCTGCTGCCTGAAGTCCCAGCGTGTCTGAATGCTAATTCAACGTTCACACTGTTGTTTTCCAGTCTATAGATTTTCTAGAGTTTTGTGCAATCAATATTATTTTAACCATTCATGTTTCTAAACATATAGCTCAATTTGAAACAGTGTGCTAAGTCTTTTGTTTTTTATATGAATGCCAGTTCATTGAATACTAAATTATATATATATATTTTTTTTATATTTTATTTATTATTATTATTATTATTGGGACTGCCTAGTAAGGCAGCCATCTGTTATTATCCACCTGAAAAGGGTCTTCCTCTTCTATCAACTTTAATGCGGCCCGAACCTCAACGTGTCCCCCCACAAATGTTATATCAACACGACCGGCTCGGCACCGCAATGTGAGCTGTTACTTTGATTGGCGTTTGGAGTTACCATGGCAACATAATTTTCAATTATGCCCATTTTCTCAATGAAAAACACTGACAGAACTCTGAACAGCTTCTGTCACAGTGAGGTCACAAGGTGTAGAGAGAGTCTCTGAGCAAAACACTGATTAACTTCTGGAGCCATTTTGGTTCAAGATGGCTGCCACAGCTACTGTACCTCAGAAAACATAAAGTTGCCTATATTCTGTCATTCTTTAAGATATTGAGCTGAATTTTGGTATGGTTGTAGCTGAGAGTGAATTGTTATACATTCCTAATGCAAATCTCAGCCTCCATATTTTTTGGGCCGAGATGGGGTAGAGGTAGGGCAGCCGACCTGGGACCAGAACGTTGCAGTTCGACTCCCAGCCATTCCCACATGTCGCGGTGTCTCTGAACAAGACACCTAATCCCCCATTTCTTCCCGGGTGCTTACATAGCTGCCCACTGCTCCACCTGTGTATCTCATGTGATGGGTTAAATGCAGAGAACTATAAAGTAATTTGGACATTGTATGGGAACAAATGATGACAATTTCAGACTTCCCTTCCCCTTCCCTTCTCAAATTAACTTCCAAGATGGCCACCTTAGCAAAAAAGGAAAAGATGATAACTCATCTATTTTATACTGAGCTGGAATTTGGTGTGGTGGTAGCTGGCAGCTATGCACAATATCCCTTAGCAAAAAGTAGTTTATTTAAGTACACTACAAGTATACTTATTTTACACTAAAAATGAGGAAGTGTATACTTGAAGTTTACTTTTTATAAATTTTATTTGATATACTTAAAAATAGTATAAAAATGTCCCAATTTAGTCCAAACAAGTATTAAATCAGTATACCTCTAGTACACTACAAGTATGGTGTGTAGTATACTTGATATACTTAACTTAAAGTATTCTTGCAAAAATAAACTTCAAATGTACTACTTTTTGTTAAGGGATATTTTGAATTCAAATCTAAAAATTCAAGATGGCCACCAAAGCTAACTTCAAGGCTGAAATTTTGTATGGTCATAGCTGAGAGTGAACCCCAACACAAAGTACTAAATCAAAAATTTTAAATGGCTGCAACGGGGCAGTCCCTGTCAAAGTTTCTCCAGGAACTTTCTAGATTAACTTTATTCTCACATACAGATACACAGAGTTCTCTTCAGTTCCTTCGAAAACATTGCTCTCTACCAAAATGCTGGCAAAATTAAAAGTTTTGTCTTGAACTTTTTTGAATCTACATCACCAAACTTACTTTGTTTTGTTTTTCTTATGCTCCTTTTACTTTCAGCTAAAGTCTTCCTAATTTTAGCTATTAGCTACAATTCAGCTTCTTTTTTTTTTTTTCATTTAGCCATAGACCCAGACTTTTTACAGAAAATACATTTTTCTAGTTTGTAACTTTTGTAATAATCTAAGCTGACAAAATACCTGTTTTTACATGTACTGTTTATAATCTTTACTTCTCTAATGCAGTTCATTGTCTTCCCTCAACTTGTTTCACTCTCTGCTACGGGACTTAGTTTTCTGTCAAAGGCTTCTGACATTCAGACACTCATATTCCACTACATCTGAGCCAAGAATCCTCTCTTCAAAGCTGGAAGAGACCTCTATTTTTAACTTATCACTTCTGCTACATAAAACACAGTAGACACATAAAAACTGACACACGTGACGACCACACGTCAATTATCTCGGTCAAAAGCAGAAAAGTTTGGGAACTATTCTCGTCTGCATGTCAGTCTGCCTGTCCTTTTATTAGTGCTGTCAGGGAGTGACAGACGCGAGTGTGTGGTTACCATGGTGATCTTGAGCCGCTGGCAGTAGCTTAAACGTTTCCTATTCACATTTTAGTAGCATAACGTGCGCTGTAGAACTGTCTTAAGCCTCTCCTGATCAGTGTCACATGAGAAAAGAGTAAAAAGTTGAAACTCTAACGCTCCTGGCTGTGCAGTGATAGCTGCAGCTCACGGCCTGAGTTATCTCTGATCACAGCCTCACAGCCGGAGTTCCTGTCAGTGACTGATGCCTGCTGAACTGGAAGAGCCGTGGTAATACCTACAATCTGTGGGGTCCTGCTCCTGCCTCCCGTTGCAGGGCTGTTGAGATAATCCAGTTTTGGGACCACGATTGTCAGCGGTGGCTCTCCAACGAGGTCTGAGCTCAGGGGACAGCAGCTGGCTTCCCTCTCATTTAAACCCTCAGCCCAAGTGACCAGGATGCCAGTCATACCTGTGTTGGTAACATGAGTTCCTTGTACAATGCAGTCCCAATGAAAATGCATTGGCCCCCGCACAATGATTCTCCTCCCTGAATAAATGGCCCTGACTGTGTGCCCACTGCCATATTAGCTGGAGGCCCTGCTGCACAGCTAGAATTCAAGATTCAAAATGTTTCAGCTCTTCCATGTGACCACTTCATTCACTGTCACAAGAGCCCAACTCTGTGGCAGCATCTGACCACCAGGGGACACTGCAACCCTGGAAAATGAAACCTGGTCAATCTGAGGGAGGTTTACTCTTTGACTCCCCCAAACAAAAATTCAAATTCAACCTCTTTTTGTACTGGTTAGTCTCAATGAGTCATTAGGACTCATTTACAAGAGAGACCTGTTTTAGACAGACAACCTATAAGGTACAGACACAATAAACTGTCATAAAATGCAATTAAAATAAAAGTACAGTAGTTATTCATACAACCTTTATTTAGACAGGTTGTAAAACAATCAAATTAAGGTGCAATATAAAACAAGGTAAAATACTAAAAACAAGAACATATTTGCGTTGATGTTTCTATTGACCTTATCAAATGTTTAAAATCCCCTTAAGAAATCAAAGTTGAGAGCTTCAGTCTTGTTGCAAGGTGTTCCAGGTTGCAGGAGCAGAGTAAGAGAAGGCCTTTTTGCCAAGTTCAGTCTGCACTAAGGGGACGCTGCAGGTAATTATGTCTTGAGAGCGCACACTGTAGCTGCACTGATGACATGACAAGTGGGAGGAGATATAAGAAGGCAGCAGACCAAGGAGGGATTTATAGATGGAGATGTACAGTATGTACCAGTGTGAGAGCCTACGTGTACACACTGATGACCAACTAACCAACGAGTACAGAGTGCAGTGATGGGTACAGTAGTTACAATGAGTTATGAATCTTAGTGCACCATGATAGATAGCATCCAACATCTGTAAGGTGCTTGTAGGGGCGTTCATGTAAATAATGTCACCATAGTTAATGGCCGGTAGGAAGGTAGCGGTTACAATGCGTTTCCTGGCATTCAGAGTTAAGCAAGATCTATTTCTGAAAAAGAAACCCAGTTTTAATTGCCTTGTGGCACACCATTAGTGATCATTAGGTAGTTAGATGAAGGACTGGTATGTTGAACATAAGAAAAAGAAGAAAATTTAAAAATAAATGCCAGGGGTTATTTGAAGGAATGCATTTAGCTCTTTCAAGTTTTTGCTCAAACCTTTATAATATCATAATATGATGTGTAATCACACTCACAAGATGTGGTCGAGATGACTCTCAGCTACTACCACATCTAATTCACAGTCAACATCTGTAGCTATTTTTGTGTTGGTTAATGTCAGGTCTGGTGGCCTTCTTGAATTGAACTGAATACCAAAGTTAATCTGTTGTTGATGTTCATCCACTGATAACTTTTTGAAAGTGCAATTAAAATACAGTACATCCAGTGGTTCACGAGACATGTTGTTAACGGACAAACAGGACTGACTCCTTTTGAAGCAAATTTCTTGTGAATTGAGTAGACTTATTAGGGGACTCTCGGCTCGCACACACACGCACACACACGCATGCATGCACACAAAATATTAGAACAACATCGGTAAAATTGACAGAAATAGTCATTTTTGTGTTTTCTAAGGTCAGTTTGCTGTGACAACCATCTTAAATTAAAATATGTCCACAGGTAAATCATTTGAAGATATACATTCAATAAAGCTTCCTTAAAATCTGTCCAGTAGTTTACAAAATATTTTGCTAAAAGACTACAACAAGTAGTTGATAGCAAAATTTTAACCAAGGATCTTGTGCAATTTGTTAGGGCTCAAAATATGTGATAGGAATGACTCTCAACTACTACTACAACAACTTTGACCAATATCTGTAAAAACCAAAAGGTGAAAGCCAATGTTTTTTTCCGGATCATTTAGTTGGCTGCGGTGGCCATCTTTAGCTGGATCTACTCCATAGTCAGTTGTAAATGTACAACCAGTGATCATTTACTGAAAGTTTGATCAAAATCCTTCATGTGGTCATGAGATATGCTGCTAACAGACACACACACACAAAGAGAGGGAGACAGAAAGAGAGAGAGACCACTTGGCAACAAGCTAATTTTATTTATAAGTGTGCCAGAGCAGTTAAATTTATTTATTTATTTACCGATTTATTTTAGCCTGAAGTGATGTCAACAGGAATTCTAGACCCATATTAAAAAGGGAATCAACAAGCTTCACAATGACATTATACGGCGGGATTTCCCGGCGCTATGACAACCAGCAAAGAAAAATTGTCCATTTCAAAGAGAATGAGTAAAATAAGATTTTTTTTTTTTTCTTTCGGCTGTTCCCTTCTTCAGGGGTCAACACAGCAAACTAACTCGCACGAAGACTTGGCATTTATTTTTACGTCAGATGTCCTTCCTGATGCAAGCACAGACCACTGAGCTACCACAGCCCTCTGTGTGGAGCAGAGAGCTGCCAGGGTGCTCAGGGAAGCAGATGGTGGGGGTTAAGGGCCTTGCTCAAGAGGCAAGAGTGGGGCAAATGAGGGTGGAGGCAGGTGTGGGTGATTCATCTATCCACCCACATTTTTTTGATGTTGTCGGTACCGGGAGTTGAACCAGGGATCTTTCGATCATAGGCCCATCTTCTTTAACCTCTGCACCACCACTCCCCTTCATGAGTAAAATAAGAATTAAACAGGATATTTCTGAAGACATGTCTATTAGACAACATTGATTTAAAGGTAGATTTTGAAGATTTAGTTCTGTTTTAGAAACTGGGATTGCTTGATGGTGTCTATAGATTTTTTTTTTTTTAGCCAATCTCAGTTACAACAGAAATCAATATTTTTGCACTGCATTCTGGCTCATTTTGCAGCATGTGTCAAGTGTGTGATACACACTTCTTTTTACACAGAATCCAGTTTCAATGCAGAATCTTTGATCTATTCTGCTTTAAACATTCCTTTATTTTTTTTAAATGGTCCTCTTTTCTAAAAATGAATAAAAATCAATTAAGAAAGTACCTTTTTTCATCACATTTAGTTCATATTTGTGTTCCAACATTGTCTCTGCCCTACAACTTCTCTGTAAGCAGTGCTTTCTTTGTCAGTCTGTCCAGATGGGGGATTATTCCTGGATGACCTGAGCTGGTCTTTGCTACAGTCTCTCCACATCCTGTTTGGTTTGTGAAATTATACGAGTCTATCCAGCAGCAGCAAATCAGATCCCATCAGGGTTTCTGCTCACCAAACAGTACAGGCTTCCAGTAATCTGACTCTCACTCAACATTCTCTTAGTTGTTTTCGTTTGTTTTTATTTTTCCAGGCATTTTTAACGTAACTACTTCTGACATGAGCTGTTTGATACCAAAATGCTTTTCTCGTTTCAGAGATAGGTGCTATGGCTTATTTTATTTTTTACTTCTATATTTTTTACAATATCCACACACACACACACTGAGAGAGAGAGAGAGAGAGAGAGAGAGAGAGAGAGAGAGAGAGAGAG